TGCGAAAATAAAACTTCCGTCAAAATGTCCGGAGAATGGCATACGTATCTATAAGCGCGTGGTGTTATGTTGCACGGAAACTGACACAAAGGCTCACCCCCGACCGAACTGGTGTCGACAATTGGGTCACAAAAGTCTCAACACCTGAGTCAGTGTACTGAACCTGAGCTAGCTGAGCCAGTACTTATACTACTGAAATCTGAGCTGAACTGTTTTAGATTTCTCTGAACGTTGAGCTTAACCTGAAATTAGTTAGTCAATGAGCACTGAAGTTGAACCGAACTGGGAAAACTGAACTTTTCTGAGAAATAAGAAATATACCTAAAAAACACACCAAACATATTCATATATACTGGAGCTTAAATTAAGAAATATGTAATATGTAATTTGATCAATAATAATTTAAAACAAACTACGTATAACTACAACATTATAACTGAGTGAATGTAAAATGTAAGTATACAGTTATGAAGAAATATCTGACATTTCTACTGGGTGACTAATTTCAATTGATGTTGACACCAGCTCACAACACTCCTAAAATAACATTACTTTCTGAAGCACAATTTAAAATGTATGCTGTTTAAAATCTCAAATTAGATCTATTGTCCATCTATATTTTGATTATTATTTAATGGAAACCGCCCATAATCAAAGAGTCATTCGAAGTCAATCAAATACTTGTTTCACTCCAGGGTGATAGCAGGAGACCCCATCTAGTCAATCAGAGAAAGTCAGGACAATCTGATGTAGAATTTCAAAATAAAATACTTTTGAAATCTCATATATGGGCTATCGTCCTTCCGTTTTTATACAAGAATAAATAAAAAAACTGTCAAATTATCAAAGACTTATTTCACTCCAGGGTGATAGCAGGACACCCCATCTAGTCACTCAGAGAGAATCAGGACAATCTGATGTAGAGTTTCAAAATAAAAGACCTTTGAAGTCTCATATATGAGCTATCATCCCTCTGTTTTTAGATAATAATAAAACAAAAACTATCCAGTATCAAAGACTTATTTCACTTCAGGGTGATAGCAGGACACCCCATCTAGTAAACTCAGAGAGAATCTGGACAATCTGATGTACGGTTTCAAAATAAAAGACCTTTGAAGTCTCATATATGAGCTATCTTCCTTCTGTTTGTATCCAACAGCTCAAATGTTCGAATTACATTAAACCAGAATTGTCCCCCTTTTTTCTTTAACAGTGAAGACAATTGGATATGTAAATGTTATATTGACCGCAAAACTCAAAATGTCCCCGGTTTTCATTTTGAAAATCTGGTCACCTTAATCTACCATAAAGCGATCACTTGATGTTTTTCCTATTAAATGAGACATTTACAATAGAATAAATCAAAGTCGATGTGACATGTTGTTCTCTTCGGGGGAGGATTCACACCGCAGGGAGCAACGAGGCGAGCAGTGACGCAGCGGTTTATGAGTTGTAACCTGCTCTCTGCTGTCAGCTCCAGTGCGTCTCGTCACCTCGACTATTGCAGACTACTTCTGACTTCTGACAACTCTTGTGGGGAAAAAGTTAAGTTTACTGACACATTTGGACATATGAAGAAGCGTTTTGCTACTGATTTCTTAGTGTAGCAGGATTAAACAGGTAAGCCTTGCTCTCTCAAACTTGAATTCTATCGTGATTGTTTTTGTGAATGATGTCACTGTTTACATGCCCACAGGTAGCACCATGCATCTGCTGAGTGGTGTAACAGCGTGTCTCAGTGTGTTTTGGGATGTCAGACTGCTCTCCCTCCCCTGGCTGTGCAGCCTTTTGGCAGGGCTGGGGCTGTGCTTGGTCTGGAGGGGCTCCTGGAAGTTCATATA